TGGAGTGCCACTCGATCTTCGACATACAAAAGGTCTGAGTCTAGTTGCTGGTCTTGTCGGTGAACCAAAGGAGACAGACGACTTCACCAGAAACTTAGTTAGCCTCACCTTGTCCCACGTCAAAGGGGAGGTTGACTTAACGAAGCCTCTGCCGTCTATTGTTGAGTTCGAGCGCCAGAGTGGTGAAGTTGTTGAGGTGTTTCTTCACTACTTGTGGGTCTCGCCAATGTGCTCTCACTGCCACGAGCTGGTTCATATTGTCAGGAATTGCCTCCTCTATACGCCACTGGAGCCGATACCTGCTGCTACTAGTAAAAAAGGAAACAAAGCAATTGAAAAAACAGCAAAGAAATATCAACCACTTGCTAAGGAAACTCAACTAAACAAATCTTCTCAGTCAATAACTGACCAACCGGCACTCTCTAATGTTTCTCCTCCTTCCCCCGCAGCTCTTCCTCTCTCTCTCCTGCTGTTGGAATTGATCCTATGGATACCTCCACTATTGTCACCTCTTCTAAACCCATAAAAACCAACCCCTTCTCCACCCCTGACCCCCCACCTCGGCCCTGTCTTAAAATATCCAGATAGTCCCCAACCTTTTCTCCTCCTCAAATCTTAAACCAAAATCCCTTCATACCCCAAATTGCTCCCTCCTCTCACCAAAAAGCCCTACCCCCCCCCCCCCTTAGCTCTCTCCTCTTTTAACCCCACAGAAAAAAATCCCAACTTCTAACTCTTTTGCACTTCTGGATCCTCCCATTTTTTCGGGTGATCCAAATAACCTTTCCCAATGAGTGTAAAACTTTTCTTTTGGAATGTCCGGGGACTTAATGAACCAAACAAGCATAGACCTTTTATTTCTTGGCTTAATTCTCAGCATTCTCTTTTTGGCGCTATTCTTGAATCACATATTAAAGAACCCTCCTTAACTCCCATTCTATCTAAACTTTGCCCGGGTTGGAAGTTCAGCTCTAATCATACCTCTCACCATGATGGCAGAATCATCCTAATCTGGCGTGATTCTCTTAAAGTGCAGATTATCTCTCAATCAAGCCAGTGCATCTCTTGCAGGATTTCCTTCCCAAATCAGGCTCCCATCATCTACTCTGCGATATATGCTTTCAATATAAGCTCTAATCGTGATGCTCTCTGGGCTGAGCTACTTGCTCTTCATCACGACCTTGACCTGGATAATCACTGCTGGATTATTGGTGGTGACCTTAACCAAACCCTCCATCCATCTGACCATTCAGGATCCCATATTACCACCCCTGATGCACAAATGTTCCAACTTCAGGACTGTTTTCTCCAAATGGGAGTTTTTGATCTCCCTTATATTGGCCCTCAGCACACGTGGACGAACAGTCAACCTGATACCCCCATTTCAAAGAAACTTGACAGGCTGCTTGTTAACTCCACTACCCTTTCAGTTTTCCCTAACGCCTTAGCCTCCTTCCTCCCCCCGCTTATCTCTGACCACTCACCCTGTCTGCTGGACCTTGCTTTCTCTCTCCCTAAAGCAGGCTCCCAACCTTACAAATTCCCAAACTATGTTGTCAAACACCCAAACTTTCATCAGCTGATACAAGACTCCTGGTTTCAGGCCGGAAACATGTGTCAAACTCTTGCTCATTTGTGTTGGAAACTAAAAGTCATAAAAACATATATGAGAGTCCTAAACAGAGAGAATTTTTCACAAATACAAGAGAGAGTGAGTGATGCTAACCGTTTGTTACAATGTCCGCAGGTAAATGCTCTGCAAAACCCGTCCCCAACTACTTTTCAAACAGAGAAAGACCTGCACCAGAGATGGAACTTTTTGAGACTCATAGAGGAGATGTACTTTAGACAAAAATCAAGGATCAACTGGCTGAGAGAAGGAGATCTTAACACAACTTGCTTTTTCGAATATGTCAGGTGCGCACAAGCTACAACTGTATCCGAGCTTTTGTGGTTTCATCAGGTGTTGTGATCACAGACCCCGTGGAGATGAGTGAGCTAGCGGTCTCCCACTTTAAATCAGTTCTGGGCCCTGATAACTACCATCCTCCCCCTCTTTACACTGCCCCAGAATGGTTTCAGGAGCTCCTTAGCTATTCTTTCCTTGAAGAACAAAAACAGAGCATGATATCTATCCCTTCGGATGAGGAGATTAAGAAACTGTATTTCAAACTAAACCCAAATAAAGCTCCAGGGCCATATGGGCTAACCTCAGCTTTCTTCAAGGCCGCTTGGGATATCATTGGTGCGGAAGTGATCACCTCAACCAAGAACTGCTTTGATTCTTGTTTCCTCCCTGCAACAACAAATTCAACAATTCTGACATTAGTGCCAAAATTCCCTGGTGCTTCTAAGGTTACTGACTTCCGGCCTATAGCTTGCCTAAACACAGTCTACAAAGTTGTGTCCCGGCTTCTTGTAAAAAGACTTAAACCGATTCTGCCTTCTCTGATCTTACCAAGTCAAACTGCTTTCATAAAAGACCGCCTGCTGGTGGAGAATACTATACTAGCGGGAGAGCTGATTAATGGATATCATAATAACAAGGGCTCAAAAAAAATTACCATTAAAGTCGACATTGCCAAGGCATTTGATACCCTCTCCTGGGAATTCTTATTCTCCTGTCTCTATGGTCTCCAGCTCCCTCCCCAATTCATCTTGCGACTTCGGGCCTGCATCTGTACAACAAGCTTTATGTTAGGATACAATGCACTGTCAATGGTTTCTTTAAAGGTAAACGGGGTCTCCGTCAAGGTGATCCCTTATCACCCTACCTTTTTGTGATAGCGATGAATGTTTTATCTAACATGTTGAACAGAGCAGCGTCGCAGAACCGTTTAAAGCTTCATTCTAAGTGTCACGCTATGAAACTGACCCACCTCTCTTTTGCGGATGATCTCCTCATCTTCATTGATTGGTCCATTGAGTCTGTGCAACAAGTCTTGCAATTTTTAAAAGAGTTTGAGTTAAGGTCAGGACTAATGGTAAGTCTGCAGAAAACTAGTTTTTTTGCTTCAGGACTTACCGCTGAGGAAGTTGCGACTATTCAGGCCTCCACAGGCATGGCACTTGGTCAACTATCGTTTCGTTACTTAGGAGTCCCTCTTGACTCCAGGAAGATTACTCTTGCTAATTGTGAACCCCTGATCCAGCAATTGAAAGCGCGTTTTAATGGCTGGTCTGTCAAAAGTCTCTCCTTTGCAGCTCGATTGCTTCTCATAAAAACGGTTCTCTCGGGTATCACAAACTTCTGGTGTTCGGCTTTCATCTTACGTAAGGCTTGCATTGCAAGAATCAACTCCCTATGCAGCATCTTTCTCTGGAAAGGTAATCTTGATGGCCATAACTCTGCGAAAGTCTCTTGGGAAACGGTGGTCCTCACCAAAAGGCAAGGTGGGCTAGGGATAAAAGATCTCAGAACATGGAACAAAGCGTGCTGCCTCAGACTTATTTGGATGTTGTTCTTTCGCCAAGAGTCGGTTTGGGTTAAGTGGTTCAAGGAGGTCATCCTCAAAGGATCCATTCATAACTACTGGACAACCACTCCAAAGCAGTCTTACTCCTGGTTCACAAATAAACTCCTGAATCTCAAAGATACGGTATTTCCTCTGATAAAGCTCCGTCTGGAAAGTGGATTAACTGCTAGATTTTGGGTTGATAATTGGTCGCCGTTCGGGAATCTCTTTGATTTTCTTCAAGGTTCGACCTCGAGATTGGGAATCCCTAAACATGCCACTATCTCTTCCCTCTTCCGTAATGAAGCTTGGCGTCTTCCTCCAGCAAGAACTGACCATCAACTTCAACTGCACTGCTATCTCACCACTGTCCAACTCTCTGGAAATGAGGACTATCATGAATGGGAAATTGATGGAAGAATAAACTCTAAGTTCAAAACTGGAGAGGTCTATTCTTACCTCACAGAAGCAAGGCAAGATGTCCAATGGTACATAGTTTGGACCTCTCGAGGGATCCCTCGCCATAATTTCCACGCCTGGCTTGTTGTTCTTGACAGGCTTCCTACTCGAGACAGACTCAGTAGATGGGGGATCCAAACGGACCAGCGGTGCCTCTTGTGTAACTCCTTCCCTGAAACTAGAGACCATCTCTTCGCTGGATGCAATTTTTCACATCAACTTTGGAGCCTCTCGGCTAGAAGGATCCCGATCACTCCCCTTACTGATTGGGAACTGGTGCTTGCTTAGATGATAGTGCTTCCACCTCCAACTTCGATAAGACTTCTCACACTTCTGGCTTAGCAATCAACTTTATATTGAATCTGGAATGAGAGGAACGCTAGGATGCATGCAAATACTTTCCGATCCATCGACTCTCTCTTTCTCCATATTGATAGGCAGGTAAGGAACAAGATCCAGAGCTTTAGAGATTCAAACCCTGCTCGATCTTCCCAAATGATTCAACATTGGTTTTCTCTCCAGTGATGTGTCTCCCAAGAATGGATCTTGTCCTATTCTCTTACGGGTTCCCCTGTTTCTCCTGCTCTCTCATTAACTCCTCTGTTTCTCTCGCTCTCTCATTAACTTCTCAACCGGTTAAGATATCAATTCATCTCTCCGCCTCCTTAATTGTCTACAGAGCACTCCGAATGGGCTTCACTATGGGTTTTAATTGGGTTCTTAATTGTGATTCAACTGGGCTGTACTAAACTAAAGCTTTTAGCTTGTAAATTTTTTGGTCTTATGCTTTAATTTAAGAATGTTTTTTTCAAAAAAGTAAAGAGGAAAACAACCAAACGCACCGTTTCTACTCCTTCCACGTTGACAATCATATCCATCGCACCCCACGGAATAAATCGTGGTCACACATGCTTATCTATTGCCACGCATAAAAATAAACACGTGTCAGTTCCATCGGATGTACTTCCCCCCAAGTACAGTGCCCTTCTTTTCTGGATTTTCAGACAGCTTTTGAAGCTAAGAATCTTCTTGTCCGAATTTTCGTGTTTAAGACAACGGTTTCGAGATTTGGGCTCTGGAAGGGATATGTCGGAATCTTCTTCGTCGCCATCTCCTACCGAAGAGATTGTTCGATTGATCAAACGATTGAGCGCTTACGTCACTTTCAAGATGTCTAGCCTCTTCTCTACATCTATTCCCAATCTGGTTCGATCTCTCTCTCTCTCTCTCTCTGTAATCGGATCTGGAATCTCTAGGATTGGAGTCTAATTTGGTTTAGCTTCTTGGAAAGATTTAAAAAAAAATAAAAATTTATGAGAAATTCTGATAATTGTAATTAGGATTCAAGATCTATTGGTGCTATTGCGGGGCTTGCAATTGCTGTGATATTCACATGGAGAGCGATAAGAACTCCACCAGGGGAGCCTCGAAGAAGGCAGCCGAAACGTAGGATGCAATCAGCTGAAACTTCTGCTTCTGCTCAGTCAAATGTAGCTTCGACCCTTTCTGATGGTTCTTTGTCTCATGAGGATAACGGAGTGCAAGATGTCGTTGATCAGTTTTTTCAGCCTGTGAAAGTAACATTCTCTGTTTCTGTACTCCAAAAGTTTTCAAACTTTGTACCTACAGTCTTGTTGATGAACTTCGTTTTTTTTTCTTTTTGCAGCCTACACTGGGGCAGATAGTTAGGCAGAAGCTTAGTGAAGGAAGGAAGGTAAATTGATTGCTAATGTTGTGAACTTTGGTCTATTTTCTCTGACCTGTAATTTATATTTGTATTGAAAGCTTGACTCTTGTCTAATAATGTATTTGTAGGTAACATGCCGTCTTCTTGGAGTCATTCTAGAGGAATCAAGTCCAGAAGAACTCCAAGTAGTAACATTTCCCTTTTGGTATTCATGTAAGTTATTTGTATTATGTGGCTGTAACCTGACTTAGAGAAACTATTTATGCAGAAACAAGCAACAGTGAGGTCATCTGTTTTGGAAGTTCTCCTAGAGATTACAAAGTATTCTGATTTATATCTCATGGAAAGAGTTCTTGACGACGAAAGCGAAGTAAGCAACAACTTCCTTTTATATTCAGTGTTCCTGTTCAGAGTTCATTCTTGTGTGCATTCTTGTATTTTTGAACAGGCCAGAGTTCTACAGGCTCTAGAGACTGCAGGTGTGTTCACCTCTGGTGGTTTGGTGAAAGATAAGGTACTCAATCAATCTTTACTCGTTCAAATGATTTTCTAGCAACCTTTTGTCAAAGCAAACAAGACGAATTGGTGTGTTAACGTTTTTCTCACTTGCAATATTGTGACATAAAAAAAACTTTTGGCAGGTCTTGTTTTGTAGTACAGAGATCGGAAGAACTTCCTTTGTTAGACAACTAGAACCTGACTGGCATATTGATACAAACCCAGAGATCAGCACACAACTTGCTGTAAAAGTCCTTTTCCCTTGTTTTTAAAAGTTTACATTCTCTTATTCACAATTTAGTTATTGATTTTCTCCCTTTGTTTTTTTTGGTGTTATTGCAGAGGTTCATCAAATATCAGCTTCACGTCTCTGCGTCGAAACCAGAGCGAACTGCTCCCAATGTGTTCACCTCTCAGTCAATAGAGCAGTTCTTTGGGTGTGCTTAATTCCAACAAAAGAAGGAGATAGGCCACAAACTACAAACTCATAATTTTCGGTCTGATTCTCTCTTTCTGACAGAAGCAAAGAGCAGAGGCGTAAATGGTCTAATTTCATCATGAGTGTCTCATAGACTGAAACTTGAAACTTGAAACTTTTTTTTTACTTGTGTGTTGTCTGAAAATTAAAAGAAGTTTGATATTTATGGAGTTAGACAATACGGCGAGAGTGCTTCGGTGGAAGTATTAGGAGCTTTGTAATTTCTGTATTAACAACATTATCTTGTTTACTTGTTGCATCAGTGGGATCTTGTAATGTGGAGTTGTAAACCCTCTTCATAAAGACATCATGATAAACCCGAGTTAAGAGATATTTTACTATATAGCGATGGAAAATTACATTATATCTGTGGTGGGCAACTTCTTTGTTTAATGGAATGTATAGGTTCATAGTCAACGTTGCTAACTCTTGTAGCGAGAACACAAGTTAAGGTAGACGAGGAGGTCTTGGACGAACCTGTCTACAAGGCTTTCCTGATCTCCCAGAAGAAGCTCCACACGACTGGGAAGGTCCCACAGGTCCACGTTTAAGTGTCGCAACACCTACACCTTTTAGCACATTAGTCAGTTCTTTTAGAAAATTAATCCACTAGAAAGATTGGTTAAAGAAAGCTGTATTAGGGAACTTCTTTAAAAAAAATCAACTTACGAAATTGTAACCGTGATAAAGAAATATTGCTACGACATATTTTTCTTAAAAAACTGTGAAAGATTTTGGCGAGTAAAAAGAGACAGACCTGGGTGACGGAATCTAGCCTCTGCTGTCACACCAACCTGTAAAGATACACATAGAAGTATATGAAGCAAGCTTAGAAGTAGAAGAAGAAGAAACGATTGTGTTGTTCTCTTGTTTTTCATTGTTTTGTTGTTCTTCTCGTCTCGACCAATAGCGTGTCTATATATATATATAGAGTTAGATAGAGTGAATAAATAAAGTTGAAGTGACAAGCTTCGACGACCTTGTTTTCTTCAAGAACGCGGTTTTCTACATCAGCTCTGAACCATCTTCTAAATATTCAGATAAAGATTTGACTAAAATTCAGTTTCTTGAATCTTAGCTGGTTAATTAAGGATTCAAGACTTTTGGAGCTCTTTGATCAAAAAAAAAAAAAAAAAGAAGACTTTTGGAGCTCTATTGAAATATTTTAGTCGTGGTGGGTGACAAGCTGGAGGTGTATTTGCAGTACAAACCAACCAATAAGAAAGAGTTTGGTGTTCAGCCACAATAATGTCCAATCAGAAAACAGTTTTGTGGCCTGCACCAGATTAGCAAATAAGAATGAAATAACAGAAATGTGGAGATGGTCTAGTCAAGCAGAGGTATATGTCAAGCTGTTTCAAGGAGACAAGTAGCACCTACATCATACATAGCTTTAGCTTTGTACGGATTCGAACAAGCCACATTTAATTCTAAACATTACCAAAACCTTTCTTCTTAACACACACTACTACAGTTCTAAACCAATTCTAGGTCATTTTTATCCGAATAACGTAACGTAAAATTTTCAGAGATTTCTAAAAAGATTTAACTCAAACCGCGACCATTTCTGGCCCATTAATTTTCTTGAAGAATGTTCCCAGACAATTTTAAAACTCAACTTCAAATTGAAACACTCTCAAGCATTTTAACAGCACTTGCAATCTTTACATTCTTACACTGAAACTTGAAGTTCATTTCTTGCATGTTCATTATCAAACGCTCTTACTGAAACTTTATTCCTTTTTTGTGTTCTCTAGAAATTAAGTCAAAGTTTGATTTTTGATAAAGTTATAAATTAACCCATTATATTTTCGGTGTTATTTGCATCAGTGGGATTTTGTAATGTGGAGTGGTAAACTCTAATAAGAATCCAAGTAAACATTTCAGAGTATTTTTCAAATTGGTTGTTTTCATTATGGTAATAAAACTATTTTCTTACTTTGGTAGGTTTAATATCTCGTCCCAATTCTCTAATACAACGATCTCCCATATCTCCATCCACATTTCTCATTCTAAATGTATCGTCTGGGTAAAAATATCAATGTTTAATATCATGGTATCACCAAAAAAAAGTGCATAGAGATAATTATTTCAATAGTTGTAATTATCATGTACCCAAAACAAAATACGAAAGTTTTATGAGATAATGTGTGAGGCATTTCCAGGATCAAATAACATAGAAAAGGTCAAATGATCAGGATATACCACAACCTAATCAATATTGCGTCAATGCCATTATACCTAACGGAACTGTTTTTATCCATCAGAATTGGTAAAAGACGCCCTCTTTATCGTGTTAAAAAATTATCATAAGTAATTAATTTTTTAAGGGAATAAAAAGATCATAATGCTCAGTGGAAGGAGAAGTCGTTTAATCCAGAGAGCTCACGGCAAAACAAACTTGTGTCTGTTTTGTCCACTGCCCTTCACGCACCTTCGTGCTATTTTATCATCATCGCATTAAAATCCTCAATAGATCAAAATAAATAATTTGAAACTATAACTATTAAAATTAATTAAGGGACCTCAAAAAGAAAAGCCTCAGTGTGTGTAACAATTCAGATCATTGATTTAAAAACCTCACTGAAATCCGCTAAGATAATTGTTTTATCCTCATCAGCTATATAAAATAAACAAATAATTTCAAAAATCAATATATTGTGGTGGTGAAGTTAAACAAGGATACTCAGACAGCCAAGGGTTGTATCTTCAACTACTGGGTGAAGTGCCCAGATCTGAAACTCTAGTCCACGAAATTATTCGTTTCATCACCATATTCCTTCTTTAAGAACACCACCACTAAACCTAACCATATATAAATCAATACTTTATCCGGCAAAAAGAAAATGATTGTAAATCCAAAAGAAAAAGAAGAAGCTCCGGTATTTTCTTTACATTGGAGAAGACGAACCACATATATACGAAACACTGACGCTGTAGGGTTTTCCTTATCGCATAGCGGCTACCACATCTCTTTCGTTTTCGTTTTAGGTTTTTGTTTGTAATATGGCCCAAATAATAAGAATACAGTCCTTTATTATCAGGTCCAATCATAGCCCACATATTTTCAGCAAACCCGTAACACATCTTTAGTCATTCTTTTATTTTGCAACTGGATATGGATCTAGGCATGGGCATTTCGGATATCGGTTCGGGTATTTTGTTATCGGATAGTTCGGATAAAAGTTAGTAAAATATTTGACATATTTTCAGTCCAGTTCAGTTTGGGTAATTTCGGGTTCAATTCGGTCCGGATAGTAAAATTAGAAACCGTATAATACCCGAAAAATTTGGTTCTCATTTGGTTTTGGGTTCAGTTAGTTTGGGTAGTTAGTGTTAAATATGGGTATTGTGGGTAATATGGCGAATAATTAAGATAATTCAGACAAAAATGTATAATATTTTGGATTACTTTGGATATTTAGGGTAAAATATTTTGATACTTTCGAACAGTTCGGATACTCTATAATAATTTAATTTTCTTCGACGACTTTCAGATACTTTTAATAAAATTTTAAATTATAAATATACATATTAGGTTATATTTTATATATATAATTAATACTTTTATATATTCGGATACGTGTTATAAATATATTCGGTTCGGTTCCGTTCGATTCGCTTATTTCAGATATATAAATATAGAAACCATTGGATATTTGAGGTCTTCAGTCTGGTTCCAGTTTCGGTATTTCAGTTCGGTTCCGATTCGGTTTTTCGGTTCCGGTTTTTTTGCCCACACCTATATGGATCCATGTGTTGCATATATTTTATTTGATTTTTAAATTTATAAAAGACATAAAAACAAAAATTATGTGATTATAATTTTAGGATTTTTTAGCATATGTTGTGTGATTTTATTTTAGAATTAAGAACTCATTTTCCCACATAAATTCTAATTACAATAAACCGTTTACTAAAATTATTCAAGGTTAAATAATTTTCTTAATTATTATTTCTTAATGATATGTCCATAATAACAATATAAATAAAAATTAATTAGAAACACTACATAGTAAAAAAAAATGTATTAAGATGAGGTTGGAGATTAATGTGTTTTTGATAAACACATATAAATATCACTTATGATGATAATAATAACATCAATCTTTATGCCAAACATGAAAATATATATCAAACATGTGTTTGATTTTCGTATAACCAAACACATATAAAAAACAATCTTAACAACATCCTATTTTTTATTATTGTTAATTAAATATTTCTCATGTCATTTTTGTTATCAAATTCTTTAAAACATACTGATATACAGGTTTTTTAATTTTCTTTTTGTTACGATCTAAAGAACAGAAAAAACACATTATTTTAAAATATCCATTATTTAAATTTGAAAAGGAAAAAAAATACATCAAATACATTTTTACATTAGCTGGTTTTTAATTTTTCTACCCAAAGTAGACCGAAATAATCGAATTAAAATTTAACAAAGTTTTGGCAATCATCAGAAGTTTCTTAAATATCGAGAGCCAAAAACAAATATTCGAAACTGAACGCCAAACCTAACTCCAGCAGTTGTAAGCTTGTAACACTTCCATATTTTTTTTTATATATTTTGTTTTGCTTAAATTTCCACCATTTCTATCTTCTTCCACGCCTCATAGATCATATTTTCCATCTCACTCACTCTCCCCTGTTCACCAACCTCAGATTTTCCTTTCTCTCCTCTCCAATTCAACCTCGGCCTCATCTCCCACCTCTCTGATCCAGACTTACGCCACCGCGCTTGTGTTTGCTTGCACATCACACTCTTCATCTCCGCCACTTTCTGCTCTGCGGCTGTGTTCTGCTTGGTGACTGGAGTGATTCGGATAATTGGTGTTTTAGAGTGCTTGTGATTGGGTTGCTTTACGCCGTACTCTTCTTTCTCAAGCAGTGATGGGTGTTAGTGTTCCCAGTCATTAAGGTTTGTTTTCTGTGATTCTTGATTCATCGATTTGTTTTTATCTTCACTGATTCATACTTGTTTTGATCCACACAGCGTCCACCAGTCTTCAGCTACAAGACTGCTCTCCACTCGACGTTAACACAAACTCTGAAGTTATCATGTGTGCTTTATGTTTTGTTAGTAGTGGCCCTGAGGGGATCCAAAGGAAACATAGGCTTACGGCCTTTTTTTGTGTTAATAATTTATCGGCCACAAAATTTAGAAAAAACCTTAAGTAGCGTAACGGTTAACTAAAGCTAATGTAGATATATAGATAGTGGGTTCGATTCTTTCCTATAATAATCAGCCTTGTTTTTTTAAATTGCTTCCAGCATACAAATATTCAGGGCCGGCACTCAACTTTGGGTGGGCTTGTGTCAGTATCGAGGTTCTTGGTCATTTCTCATGCTGGTATTTTCTATTTTATTCTCTAGGAAAGTGATTCACCATATACATCAGATTTGCTCATCTGCTTGCACTAGTTTTTGTAGATTTGCATATTTTGGTTGCTTGATGATATAATCATTTAGATTGAACGTGTAGAGATCTATGTAAAGTTATAGTAAACTTAGTTATAGGCAACATGTAGATTGCAGAAGAGTTAAAACTCACTATTACGCAAGTGTTGCAAAACACAATTGAGAAGATCTCAAAACAAGCTAGAAGTTAGTGGTTTGAAATAAGTATTTCTTTATTGTTTAAGGTTTCATGTTAAATACACGTGCTACCTTGCTCTGATTAGCTCTATTATCAGACATCCTTTTGTTGTTTAGCCATGAGACGCGTTTTTTGTTCTTCTTTGTTAGCAATCTGATGAAGGATTTTGATTAAATTCGGCTCACCTTTTAGCCTTTAGTGAAAAGAAACTGTGGCTTCGTGGGTCTATATGAAGATCTGTGCAAAGATGATAGTTTTCATTTCCTGTGTTTTGTT